GAAGGCGAGGTGTGGATATGCTGTTGGTGACACCGTGAGAATCAAGCTCCAACCTGCACAGCGCATGAAAGGAAAGCTTCACGCACACAAGTTCGAATTGTATACAGTTGTGCACAGGACTCGCAATACCTACCTGGTGAAGCCTTGCGGACCCAATGCCCTCACTTGCACGCTACAACGACACTGCGATGAGCTAGAGCCCGCACCCCCTCAGCGGTTGAGCCGGGAGCACAGTAGCAGCACCCACGAAACGGGGACGGAGGGGGAGCTTGACGTTTCTCAAAGTGGAGTTGCCGAGGAAACAACCCTGATTCGCAGGAGTGGAAGAGTTAGACGGCCAACCAAGTTTCTGGCAGTAAACCCCCGGCGGGTTCGTTATGGATCAAGCTCGGCCTGTAGTGGTGCCAACGCGGATGCGTCGGACGATAACGAGAGTGCGGGCGAGTTCTGACTCTGACCTGAGATGCTTGGTGGCGAACCAGGCAGGTCACATGAATGCTGGGTGGGAGGCCGGCTGTCGCGGAAACACTTTCTTCGAGTCGGCAAGGTGTGCCTCCATTTTGAGTTGGTGTTCATATTGTTGAGTTTGAGTGGGGGAGTGTGAGCGGTGTGCTATACACACCTCCTACGTGACACTTGACACAATCATACACTATTGTGCATTAGCACCTGTATTGCTGTACTGGTATTTAGAGGGCTTCTGATTGTTGATGAAGGCGGAGTTATCCTGGGCAATACAACCGTCTCAGGTGTGCACATCTTGGCACATACTGTGTGCTGTCGCAGTCCACCGCAGTACATAGTAATCCACATATAACTACCGATATTATAACATGATGTCACATACATACATATATGCATGCGCGCGCACCCACACCCACACGCGTGCGCGGACACACACACAAACATGAAGAAGCTGCCGAGTCCGACTATGCAGTCTCCCAGGCACGCATCCACGCGCACACACATGAACCAGCTGCCGAAGCCAATTATACAGTCTCCCGGGCACGCTCGCACACACACACACATGAACCAGCTGCCGAATCGACACAAACACACGCGCGCGTGCGCACACACACACACATGAACCAGCTTGCGCGACTATGCAGTCTCCCAGGCACGCGCGCGTGTGCGCACATACACACATGAACCAGCTGCCGAATCCGACTATGCAGTCTTCCAGGCACGCGTGCACAAACATGCTTGTGCGCACTCGTGTGCGCACACATGAACCAGCTGCCGAATCCACACAAACACAGGCGCGCATGTGTGCACACACACATGCACCAGCTGCCGAATCCGACTATGCAGTCTTCCAGGCACGCGCGCACAAACATGCTTGTGCGCACGCGTGTGCGCACACATGAACCAGCCACCGAATGCGACTATGCAGTCTCCCAGGCAAGCGCCCGCGTGCGCACACAAACACACATGAACCAGCTGCCGAATCCGACTATGCTGTCTCCCAAGCACGCAACCCCACTGGGAGAAGAACAGACTCGAGGAGGACGCCGGATCGGGAGGAGCACACACCTCAGTGAGTGCAAACATTTTTGTTTCCGGTTACCTGTCCCCTCGTGTGAGGGGCCGACAGACATGGAGATTTTTGCTGAGGCGAAGTCTCGCATCAACGTCCTAGCGAGATCTCCCAGACTTTTCTTGAATCCATTTGTTGTAGTTGTGCAGCTGGAATCCTCAGGTTGACTTGCAACCTGATCGCATGGGCTGCAGTGAGCTTTGCAGCAAGGTAGGAAGAGACGTTGACGGGTGCCACACGATGGTCCAACAGAGGTGACTTGGCCATGCACTGAAGTAGCAGATGGGGGCATATCCAGTCATTTGCGGACTGTCAGTCTGCATAACTGGGAAACCAGCGAAGTCATACAGTGCATTGGCTGCTGCAAGACTGGTCCGCCACAGGTTTGCGACGCTGTTGAGGACACTTGTGGCGTGGCAGGCCGCTCTTCGAAAAGGAAATGTTACAAATACTACACTGAATCCGATCACGGGAGGCCAGCTGTGGTGTTGAAGCAATTCTGAATTCTGTGTGCCACTCTCCTCGCTGCTGTGCAGTGTCGAACCAATGTCCTTCAAGATGTAAGTGATGGATGTCTCTTCGGACAACATCACACCAATTCAGTCGGGTTTCACCCACCCACACACACACACACACACACACACACACACATACACACACACATGCGCAAATACACTAACGCGTGCGCGGATACATAAACACACGCAAACATACATGTGCAGATATGCGCACACACACCTTGCCTTGCATACATCTGCCAGCGCCTGGCCACACCGCTCTCGAAGGGAAAAGTTAATGACATGGCATTTGTGACGAGATTTGTCTCCTGGGTGTTCGAAAAGCAGCGCAGCCACACACTAAACCGTCAGTTATCTACGCTGCTACATCCGGCAGCGTACACCTTGTCGATAATAATAATAATAATACAGCACGCATATAGCTCATATGAAAAATCAAATGAGGGTCATGCATCTGTCAAAAACGTCGAGCCAGTGCGTTCTGTCTGAGACAAGTTGCTCCGCTTCCAAAAGAGACAGTCATATTGAGAAGTAAAAGGTAATTCCTAATGTTGTCTACCCATCTGGTCACTGGACGACCCCTGGGCTTCTTTATATCTGTTATATTCATTGCCATGTGAAGGGCTTTGTAGGACACAGCGTCCTTCCCTTCACGAATGACATGTCCAAACCATAATAAACGCCGGAGTCTACAGACTGCACTTATTGGGCATTGAGCAGTTTTAGCATAAAGAGCATTATTCGAAATTTTATTTGGAAAGATGATTCCAAGTATGTATCCGAGTTTACGGCGGAGCCATACATCAATTTTGCTTTCTAAGGCTTTTGTTAGAGTCCGTAGCACGCAGTTGTATAGGAGAACTGGCAAAATGAGACAGTTGAACATGCTTAAGCGGGACTCCTGGGTATGGCGTTTCCATGATACACTGGCAAATGGCCAGTTCGCTGCTATTATATGTGCACCAATGTCCTCCGCTGACCCCAGACGAGAACCCAACAGTTTGACCGACCTCCAGGAGGCATCTGACTTTGTAGCTGTTACAAATTGTGTTTTGCTGATGTTTAGTTGTCGACAATAGCGGAATCTTAAACCCACCACCGACCTGAAACACCGATCTCACTGGCCGCAGTGGCTGGGGCAACACCTTGCCCCAACACCCACCATCTGGCCCGCAGTAGTAGCCTGGGGTGGTGTCACCAACAAAGGAAAGCGCCTAGCACGCACATGCACGCGCGCACACACACACATGCACGCTCTCACACACATGCACGCGCACGCACACACACACACACACACACTAGCGCACAAGTGCGCACACACACATACACAGACAATTCTATGATATGTTGCCCGCAAAGCAGCCAGGTGATCTGGCTTGGACCTCCAGCAGCGCTGGTTTTGCCCTCGCTACTTGTCGTCTTGTCCTCTCCAATGCTGCCTGCAACAAAACATTCCCTTCCGGAAACTCTGGGTGAACAAGTTCTGTGTGTTGTGTTTACACCGTGCTCTGCTTTCATATGGCATTCGTTGTTCGTATCAACCCCTAAGCTCCTGGTAGGTGGCCCCTTATTGGCCTTAGGATGTGGCTCTGGGTTCACTTCAACATGCACATCACTCTAAGCAAGTACAGACAAAGCAAAATCAGAGGCACTGGTCTTTTCCATTGTTGTAATTCCTATCAAATGCGTGCAATTGGTGTAGCACTTTCCATGATACCAGCCACACCATTTACTCCTCCCTGAGGTCTTGTGCTGGCAGAGAAAAGCCCAGACATGGTCGTCCTTCTCTCGAGCAGCGCTGACGATGCGACACCAATTTGTAGACTCGATATAACTCACTGCAGGCTTCTCGTTTCTGCTAAAATTGGGCGCTGTCACACAGACACAAAATTCCAGCAATATTACTTTGCTGGGCTGTGATTTGCCCCTTCGTTGCCGTCAGCTGCCTCATCCGGCACCTCGTCTTCCTCTTCTTCCATTGTTGTCAAACAACATCAAGGTACACGAGACTAAGCGGAAAGGAATACATTTCAATAAAGTGATCACAATATCCGAAGTCCATATTGTTGTCAACGTCGTCATCTTCTAAAAAATACATTATTTTTCCTCACCTCACGCGAACTCGTGTTTTGCGCTTGCTCATACGATGCACAACTCAGCACTCGCGTAAAAATATTTGTTCTCACGGTGGAATGTGGAAAAAAAAGAAGCCATCGCGAAAGTCTCTGAGTCGGTTCTGGAACGTCCAACAAGCGAAAACGTATCCCGGCTTTGTGATGTCCTTGACCAACAATGTAAGCGATTTGTCCCTCCGAGAGTGCAACGGCACTTGTGATTTTGAGTTTTGGCTCACGGACTATAAGGGCCCTAAGACAGTAAGAGATACATATCTGACTGACTTACACCACGGACACACAGGGTCAACTTGGTATGATACATCACTTACACACATCATGTCACGCAGCCAGTTCTGGATTCAAGGACAAGACAATCAGATATGGGACCATGCTTACCCATCTGTTTTCTTACTAAAATTTCCGAAAATCCGAAAAAGGACGGCAACGAGCTCCTAGCGTTAGCACACCAATACAGACGTTCACCCTCACGAATGACACGCAAAAACGATTTTAGGCGTACAGAAGGCAGCACATGTTTGATTACGTGCCATACTATGACCACCTGGACATTGACGGACTGAGCTTCCTGTGCCATTCATGTTGTGCGATCCCATTGGCAGTGTGCGGCATCCTTGTGCGACCGCCATTTTCAAAATTATGGCCTGGCCCATAACCTGCCTCATGCCAGGTTGACTGTAACGTCAGAGTGTGAAAATCACATGCACGCACAAATCCTGCTACGACCGTGGAGCCTTCCCGCTTGGTCGATCACAAGCTAGGCTGGCGGCATTTCACTGCGAAGTCAACGTACAGTTCATAGCTCTAAAGTTGTCGCAGATACATGAAGAGGCGCTGTGCACCCAGTAACTTGTGAAATCAACACATCGTTGGGGAACACCGTCTATGCTTTGCCCACGTTGTCTCAACTCCTGAGTATTACTGCCGTTATGATGAGGATCTCTACAGCACTTAGTAAGTCTGGTTTCTTTGATGTCTATTTATTTTAGGCAGGGGTAAATTGGATGATTCCCCCACGTCAGTGACTCCACAGACTCCCTGGATAACAAACCAAGAATATCTAGTCTCTTTTTGTCCGCTGAATTGAACCCAGTGTTTCGGTGTTATGTGTGTATGTTCATATTATATATATTTTTGTACTTTTTTTTAAAAGTATCAAACAAGGCCAGTCTAGGTAGGTCCAGGTAGAATGCTCAATTCACAAATGTGCAGAGCACTATATACGCTCTGTTGTGTGTTTGAGTATCTATACATTTCCTGACGGCAATCGTGTTCGATCTTCTCTTTTGCCCATCTCTACAGTGCTTTTCCTCTCGATTACATTCACTCTGGTATCTGCCACCGAAATCCGTCCCGCATGTAAACCATCGAATGTGCAGAATGTTCAAGTAAGGGAGTCGAGTAAAGGACAACTCAGTCTTGCATTGAAACCGTCTGATGAGGTAGATGTTGTTGCAGATACAGTTATTGGACGGAGGTGGTTAAATCTTACCTTTGAAGCTCAATGCAGGGCCTTCATCACATCTATAACTCTGAGAACAATCGGCAGCTGCACTGTAAAAGTGGAGAGAAAATATCACGGTTTTGAGGGTTCCACAACCATATTCCAGAAATCCTCGTCGCAGTGTGGATTGCAAAAATTTCAGGACTCGAAATATGATACTCGGAGACCTGTTCAATTGTATGAAGGTGCTAGCCCAGTTCAGATCAGAATCTTGGTCAGTAGCAATAGAAGTTGCGCAGGACAGTGCGGAGTCAAAGTAGACCGTCTTCCAATGGCAGGTTACTTACCCGTAATGATCATCCAGGCTCGTGGTAAGACACATTACATGCACATTCCCAATCATACTCTAATGTCCTCTAGATTAGGCCAAAACAAAACCAAAGTTTACATGCATTACACCTGCCTTCTTACCCGAACCCATACCACCAAATCAAGATCCCTTCTTGAAAGGACTCAACCATCACTGTTTTTCTCACCACTGCTACTAGCTTTCTGAGTATTTAAATTCCTTCTCACAACTGATTTCGGAATGAAGAATAACAGGGTGAGGTGAGAAGTAAATATAAATGTATGAGCACCTACCTTATACAGGGAAATGGCGCACAGATACACACCTTCCCATTATCTAGGTGGTGAATTTAAAATGAAATAATATGCGTGGAGACAGTGACAAATGGGGACCACCGGCTTGTGTAGTTGTGAAGCATGAGTTTCGAAAAATCCAGTTTCAGCCGAGAAGAATTGCGTTCGTTGCGCACCTCTGTGCATACCCTGCAGGAAACCATGCCATTCGTGGTAGTCCTCAAAGGCTTAACTAACGCAGGGTCTATTTTTTTCCAGGGTCTATCTCCTTGTATTGTGTAGTCAACTTGCAGCATTCCTTGACAGCGAAGCACAAGAAGCCATATACCACACTCACATTGAAGTTGACGAAAAATCCTAGTTAGGCAGAAAAACGTTAGTTCTTCCCTGACTCACATGCTTCCGCCAGACACACACACACACACATACACACACATACACACACATACACCCACCCACACGTGCACACACACACGTGCACACTTCACACGCAGACTTGTACTTGTTGCTCATTGCCAAAACTGGTCACATGGGTCTCCCGGGAAAGGGGAGAGAGACCCAAAAAGAATCTTGGAAAGATTACTCAATTGGCTATTGAACCGCGCAACAGCCGACCACCCCCCCCCCCCTGAAATCCCAAAAACTCTGGGTGGATTTGAAAATGATCCCACTTATGGGCTCACCACACCTCAGTACGTGGGTGAGGACAAGGTGCAGAAAAAGGATTGACGGCATCAGGATACCCGTCCAGAGATCCAATTGCAGTTGACCCTGCCCCCAGTTAATACTTGCCACTAGTGTGGGTGGCTAAATCAGGGTGGATCGGATACAAGCTTCACTAGCATCATGATTTACACAAGAATCTAGTCAGAAGTAGTCCATGGTAAACAGGTATGTATACTTCAAATAGAAAGTATATGAACTCTGAAAGCAACAAAGGTGGTAGGTACAACATTTCACCTTCCAGCAGCCGAGCTTGTCGGCAACAGACCCAACACCACCCGGCATAAGTGTACCCAAGGACCAAACTAACTCGCACACACACACACACACACACACACACACACATCACCAGCTTACAAACAACTGATGGGACAGCCACAGCGACGCAAGGTCTATATTGTTATATGGTGTAGTCAACGTGGAGCATTACTGCACTGCCAAGCATTACAGGCCACAAAACAGACTCGCATTGAAGTTTACGAAAACTCTTAGGCAGGAATAAAATATGAGATCCTGGTCTTGAATACGTCCATTTCTATAGATTGCGAATTAAAAGTCTTGGAGAGAGCAGTTTTGATTTACATGTAGCGACAAGGTGGACTAATTTGGCTGTAAGCATTTCCTATTTTTCGACATACAAAAAGAAAAAAAGAAGATCATTTCTCATGTGTTTGTTGATTTTGATCATTATACGTGGATTTAGGGAGGCTGTTGAAGATGTTCGTCCTGCCAACTTTGCTTCCCTTCTAGATGCTGACGAATGCGCTAATCAAAATCATGTCTGTCAAGCGCCTGAAATTTGCCATAATACGCTGGGCGGATTCAAATGCAGCTCTTCACGAAAACCGACATCTCGGGCGTTTACCTCCACTTCCCCCACTCTTCGGATGACAACAGGTTCAATCACATCAACTCCGTGGCCTGGTACTCTCCGCATGTATTTGACAAGCAACAAGTCCTCAAAACTGAATACAGGCTCAACTAGCAGTACCGTATTGATATATCCAACGGAGGTCCCTCTCATCACAGCGTTCACTCAACCCTCAGTGCAAGCATCCGCTCTCGTGCCAATACTAATCGCCATTTTTGCAGTTTTGATCCTGCTGACGTGCTGCTGTGCTGTGATATCGTTCTATTTGCTACGCTCGGGCAAGATATTACCATACTCTACGTCAAACTTGGTTACACACATTCGAAGAGTTCACTCTCAAGGCGCTAGGCCCTCCGAGAGGCCAGCCGCAAGCAATTGGGATGACGGGATGAGGCGCGAATCGCAGCTCTCCAATGTCTCTATTCGTACAACAGAAGCGACTGAAGAGGCTGTAGCATATTCTGCCTCAGGCCCTGCTGGTCCGGTGACATCTCGTCGCCTTTCCACCAAATACAGGTTTGAGGATTCCTGCGCCAGCGTGTCAAAAAGAATCGGAGCAACTGAAGAAGTACAGACTTGTTCTTCAACATTTCAAAGCACTGCCAAGCATGGGGATGACGTAAGAGGTGGGAGTAAAATGGAAGGGCAACAACTCAAGCATGATGAAGTTTTGATCGGCGGAAAGGCTGCACATTCTCCAAACAAACCACCTCACCTCGACATCTCTCGTGTAATTCTGCAGACACGAAATGCCACGGTGGGACACGCTTCGGCGGAGAAGAATGAAAGCGAAGATGCAGTGTTGGATATCTTTGCATTGCCAATGGAAAAGAATCCGGCCTACGAGATGGCAATGGCTAAAGAGGATGGCGCAACTGGCAACACGGAAGACGGACCAGCAAGTACGATGGCATCCACAGGTGAGCGTGCTGCGCTCCCAGGATTAGACCTGCCATCGAAGAGCACGCGCGTCCCTGTGCATGCCGCCTCGACTACTCAAAGAGTAGGTCACCCAGATGACGTCATCTCCAGTCAGCCAATCTACACAGCGCCAGACAAGTTGCAGTTCGCGTGCAAGGATGCGTCAGCGGGAGCAACTGGCCTAGGGTTAGGTCCACAGCCGGCGGGCACGGTTATCTACGATGAAGTCATATTGAAAGTGAACATTGGTGGAAATCCAAGTTCAGCTGACAACATAAATTCCTCGCTAGAACCCACAATTTACGCGGGAGTTAAGAATCTATCCAAAGCAAGGTCAGAGTAACTTCGGCCACCATTTGAGCCCTCTCTTCCAGTAGCTGGTATGGTCCTGCTCGCCTAAAGTCGCCGTCAGAACAATCTCCGTCTAGGTCTAAAGGTTCAGCCTTCAGCACGCATATTGCGACTTGTTCGTAAATTAGCATCTTCTATTTCTTGTTAGTGCCTTAGAGGATTCACACAGGACGAATTACATTGTTGCTAAATATAAGACTGCCGTTCTTGTACCACCTGCATTGTTTTACTTCGTTGCCCCCCTCCTTCTCCCACTCCCACCCCAACGAGCGTTATACAAACAATTCCAAAGTACAAAGTATAGTCCTAAGCACGTTTGAACAAAGCATACTGCGACCTAATTCCTTCCATTTTACCCGCTAGGATTCCAAAGCACACAAACATTCTGAAGTTTTCATTCGCTGCTATGTTTACTTATGGAATCTTGTCTGATTGGCTGGTTTGTAAAACATGGATATACTAGTGAAGTGGTATGCTCCATGGCAATGGATGGAACTTTATGTGTTGCTCGCTGGCTGATTCGAGGGTGACATTGTATTTCCCATTTAATTGCCAATATGTATTATTAGGCGTGAAAATTTCAGCCTGATAAATGACCATTGTTTTGCTTTGTGTCTGATTCCAGGTGTAGACTAAGCCAATGTGTTGTAACCTTTTTTCAACTTTTTCTCTTAGCTTGATCCTAATGCGCCTTCCTGTCACGCATCCAGTACTTTTCATCATTCATTCAGAATTCATTTCACTGGCTTACATGTTCACTTCTTTCCATTAAGCATTGTTTCAAGGTCAGAGAGCGAATTCAATTTTCCGCTGGATTTGGAATCACGACATCACGTGAATTCGTGTCCTTTGCATTGTTTGTCATGTTGTTTTGCGTCTTGATCACGTTATTGAGAAATAGAACGGATCGATTAGAGATTGGAGACTCCATCCACATGGAGGGGTAAACTTGCTGTTTCCGTCATCTATGCCTCATGAATGCAGCTACGAGCTTAACGTGCATGTAACTGGTTCAAGTTCATGATAAGTTCATTTGAACCCATCATGTGTTACGAATACTTGGCCCTTTCATGGATCTCTTTCTATGAAGATCCGTTACTGGAATGCATTCCAGCTTCCAAAGCCCAACCATCACGATAACAGCATACCCCTCTAGCTGATTTCAGCAGTTCGAGTGAAATGCCAAACGCTGAAATTATAAAAATCCAGAACCTGTACGTCTTGACTGGTGATCATCCAGCAACCGTGTCTGTGTTCAGTGTAGGCACTGTCTCTTTGGTGCATCGGTACCTGACGGTAGACGCAACAGGAGCTAGGTCAAACAGTTAAAGATACATATCTGACTGACTTACACCACCAACACACAGAGTCGACTTGGTATGATACATCACTTACACATGTCATGTCACCAAGACAGTTCTGGATTCAAGCACAAGATATGATATAGGACCATGCTTACCCATCTGGTTTCGTAGTAACATTTCCGAAAATCTGAAAATGGAAGGCAACGAGCTCCTAGCGTTAGTACAAAACTCCAGACGTTCACCCTTTTGAATAACAACCATGCTCCCTGAAACCTAGACCATGATCACTTCCATGTGGCACAGAATTCAAAACGTGTATTTGTAGTTTAAATGTCTTAACGCGTATACAAAAACCTTGTAGACGGGATGACCATGTCAGGGACTGGCATAACAGTCGATGAGAATTTTTTTAGGTAGATGAGGAAAGGATTAGACACTCTAATTTACTTCAGGTGTATTGCTCTTATTTGAAAAGGCAAGGATGCCGGCAGAGACCCAGTGACGCACAAAATTAGTAATGTCTCTTCGATTACCGATCGAACTGGTTCAATGGTATTTGAAACTGTGAACAAGTTAGAGGCGCATGTGAAAACATTCAGTGTCGAAATCAGAACCAGATTGACCTCGTCCTTGAAGGCTTATTCGCTGTTACTGGACTACTAATGGGTGCAAATGTCCTGGCGCTGATTCTCAATTACGTTAGGCAGCGAAGAATGAACAGAGAAAGCAGCGACTTGCCAGTGTATGCGACCCGTCGAACAGGGACTAACTGGGCAACCTGCCGCTCAACGGTTGTTACTGTCACAGCATCATCATCTTAAATCAACACTGGTGAATCAGAAAAAGGTGTCGTGACGAAGTTAACAACCCACGGCCACAGTTATGGACCAGGCAGCGTTGAAGGGGGAAGGTTTTATCCTGTTACCACTGTTGCAGAGCAGGAGTCAAACCCCGGCGGAGAGCCTTGTGAGCAGCCAGAAAATGCTACTCCAACGTGTCCTGCTACTAAACAGGAGGGCTGGGTACCGACGGAGAGTACGTATATCGATCACCGCAGCAAATGCAGGGACTCTATGGGACCAGTTGCTACATGTGAAGATAGTTTAACAGTCAATGCCGCCTACGAAACCAGACTATCTCTCAATGTTTCTGATCAGGACCTGTATATGGAGATAAAGTAATGGAGAGCAACATCTTGTCTTGTCTGATTTATCCAACTTGCTTCAATTCTGTTTTGTGGACTTCAAACGTCGTGTTTGCGTACACGTACATGAGCAAATCCCCATAATATAGCGGATGCGAAATTATAAATACTTGATATGTGAAGTTTTGGTCTAAGCAGTGCAAGTAGCTCCTTGGTTAAAACTCACCTGCATTGTAACCCCCCTAAACTGTTGACTATAGTTATTTGTTATTTATGCTGTGCACATCTTCTGTATCCGCAATATAGAACTTTCATCCAACTAGTATACATCACACAGCACAGTCCCCTCATTTATGCAGCAATGTTCACCGCCCCACCGCATTCTTTGGAAACTTCACAATTAGAACACCAACAGGACCATTGTGAATTAAACGAGCATCTGAGCCAGCATAAAGTTCATGGCATGTGAAATGCTCTCTGGTCGCAAAGCGATAAAGATCTTGTCTACGCCCAACAACAGAGTGCCGGGCAGAGAGTTGTGTGCTTTATTGCCGAATTTCTGAGTGACATTGCGTGAGACTTTTCCTTTCACGAGGTACAGCGTCGAGTATAGCACACAACTCCTCTCATCTTATGCTTGATATTAGGAATATATTAGGCCTCGAACAAATATGCTAAAAAGAACATATTGTTATGTGAGTTACGAAGTCTGAAGAAAATGTTGAACAGTCTCTGCTGGGATGACGACTACACCATAGCTCAGTGGTTAGAGCATCGTTAGCTACAAGCGAAGGTCCCTGGTTCAAGTCCTGGTGGTGACAGTCAATTTTTTCTTCAGACTTTTCCCGTTTGTCTCTTTCCCTCAAACTAGTGAAGATATTGTTATGCTCGCCGCATATCAGGGAAAACCTCCATAAAATGCCAAAGGCTTGGCAAGTTATGCAAAAAGATAAGCCAAAATATGCTAAAATATGCTCGACATAAGCAGAAAGTGTAGATCATTTCAGTAAAATTACAACCTTGGAATATTCATTGGCTTCACGGCTATCATGCTTATGGTGCAAATCAAAACACATGCGGAATAGTGTGGCTGAGGTGTGTCCCCAGCAACCGTAGCGATATTGTTCATCCGGGGGTAAATGTAGCAAACGCCTCAACCATTCCAAATTCATCCATAAAAGGCATTTCTGAACGCATTTTGTCCATAAATACGAATGCTTTGTCCATATTTTCTTCAGAATATTTGAATAATATGCTGCCTTCATTCCAATATTACCTTTGTCACTCAATATGCCATATATGAACTGTGTCACAAAATATGCGGAAAATATGCAAAAGCAGATTTGGTCGAGGCCTAAAATAATAATTGTTTAGATTTAACCATTGTTAAATCTAAACAATATATTGTTGACTCACGCTGCTATTTGGTGTTCATGAGGTGTTTGTCGCGCTGGAAACGGAGCGTCTCTGTAAGTTTGTATCCCTGGTGATGTGTGTGCCTGGAGAGCACTATAAGTGGTGCTCTTCAGGCACAATCTTCCTCAGCCTACTCAAGCTCAACTGATGAGGGGTGAATTCCCCGAAACACTGTGTATTGAGCAGGAAGTGGCGCTTTCTTGCTGGTCTGCCGAGTCGAAGGTTCGATAGACTTCTCGTGTGCTCTGGATGGCAGTCGTGACTCAGTCAAGTGTCAAGTAAAGTCGGCGGAATAGCGCGAGCTCCGATGTGGGGAGCAAACCCTTTCTTACAAATCATCGCCTAAGTCGCCACCACTACTGCGTAGATTTAACCATGCTGTGAATTTCCAACAATGTCTGCATCGCCGTGGCTGAAACAGACTCACTCTTCCTCTAGAGGTTTCGAAGAAATCGTCGCGCTTCAAACGGAGCAGAGCGTCCCACCAAAGCCTCAATACATGTATAACAACATTTATAAATAGCGCAGTGCTCCTCAACTACAATATTCATCTTCTTACCAATGCTCAACTGACTAGAGAACTTCCGAAACCGTAATATTTGGATAGAGGGGCGTACTTACCTTTGCGCTTTGCTAGGCAGAAAGTTTGGTAGGCTGATCAAGTGCTGTGAATGGCAGACAGGAATATATCACAAGAGCAGCTGAATGAAAAGGTGTGTGTTCCCAGTTAGATGCTCACTCTGTCTCATTACTGGCATCGACATAATATTCTTACACATTTTCGTGGAAGTAGTATACGAATGATGAAACATACAAATAAGAGATGAAAAAGACAAAACAAATTTATTGTACACACAACTTCATGGAGTACTAGAGTGCCGTGCCCTGACTAAAGCATTTCGTAAAATTGGTCTTTGCTAACTGTGAATAGATACTGTCTGACTTCCAGTTGCTTCCTATGACAAATACTGCAGAACCGGTTTCAGACATAGAACAGAATAAATAGAAAGACTACAAGGGTAACAACCTGGAACAATGAGAATATACCAAAATATACGACCAGTTGCCACAGGTTCCAGCCTCCAGTCGAAATCATGGTAGTAATTATAATATCATGCAGCTGGCAAGCACATAAATTAGAAATTCGCGGCTTGGCACCAGGATAAATACTCCAATAAAAGACATTGTAAGTTACGTCTCCCGTTATGCGGTCTCTTTCGAACAGGCAAAACGTGATTGCTGTGCTGGGTGATGTACCCAAGTTTTTGAAGACCCTCAAAATCTAACGTTATGCAATGAGCTGTGGTTTCCTTATTTTCAATGCTCAGACAAAAAAAAAGTGATAAATTTAATTGTGAAGAAGTCTGCTCAATATTTTGAGATGGAGTGGAACTTACAACTATCAACCTGCCAGATGTTTCCAAGAAGGGTTGAACTTGTGTGCAAATTATACTTCAGTACGGAGACAGGACTCTTCTTAGCAAGCATGCTTACACACTAGACCTGTATAACTTAACCTGAACTAAATGGGTAGTTTCAAACGATTCCTTACAACAATAATTATCTTTCGACTGCATGCAGGCGCTGTTGCGTACACTCCTTTAACCAGCTCATGCACATTTTTGTTTTTATTCTACGCATTCCCGAGTTTATGTGTAGCAGCAGTATGTTGCGTCCACAGCAGAATGGCTTGGGTCAGAGGAGAGCGGAGAGAAAGCAACAAGGCAATCATCATCTATGAAATAGGTCACAATAATCATTAAATGTTGTCAGTGTATTCTTTTCTACTGTCCAGCTATCCTCACTATTCTGATAGTGGTCACGGAAGGCTGGGCTACGGGTACAACTTCTTCAGTAGCGTCTCAGTGTTTTTCGCCTGGATATCCTGCACCCCAGGTCGTCCGAGATGATTACAAGGGACATCAACTGCGCTATTCTAGTGCTCCCAAATCGGCAGCGACCCAGGTCTTCCGCTTTGT